TTAGTTGAACATAGGTAGGATTGTAAGAACTCAGTGAGTTACCTGTGACAGTTTTGAAATTTTAACAAGATTCCCACATACAACCAAAGTTTAGCTTCAACCATTCTTCTAAAGATGTTCAACTATATGTTTTGTTCATCTTCTTGATTTGATGTATTTAGCCAACTTCTCCCTTATCTTCTTCTTACATCCTTTCGGCTTCTGATACTTTCTCCTTGTATCTCACCATTCTCTTTATTGTCTTAATATGCCAGAATAAACAAAATGAAATAATTGGACATAGACTCATAGAAAACCTAGTGTTCTGAGCAGATTTTTTAAAATAAAACAATTCAGGAGCTTCTGAGTAATGGTTATATCTAATACAAATATGGAATAAAATGGCATATGTGAATGAAAAACAACATTAATAAGCATATTTGTTAGTGTTTTAAAATAAAGTAGTTCTTAATTAAATTTGGCAATAAACAAGGGAGTGTTAGTGTGTTAGGGTCCCCCAGTTATTTTGTTGCAGCCGGACTGCGGCATTAGTGCAGAGAAAGGGGAATCCCAAGCTGAGAATCTCGTCACATGGTAAACTCATAAACTGTAGCAAAAAAAATGAGGAAATAAGATAAGATTTATTGGGTAAAGAGAAGATGTTGGCTTTGAAACAAAATGGAATTTGTTACAACTTATGAGTTAGATTCTCTAGGGTCCTACCTACTCAGTGGGGCTCCTTGTTCCCAATGTTTCCCTGTCTGCCCACTGCTCAAACAGTTGAATGATCAAGGGGCAGATGTCTGATCCACGAGAAGCCAAAATTTGCTCAGCCCTTAGAATGTTAAACTTTAGCTGAGACATCCAGAGAACTTATGGGAGTACAGACATGTTAACGGCAGAGATATTTGATTAGTCAGAGGAGACAGATCAGTGAAGATCATGACTTCTGACTACCTGGAGCTTTCAGTTTAACAGGGAAAACAGACATGATAAAGTGTGAAAATGAAATTTCATTCATTCATTGAACAAATATTTATTGAGCACTTATTATGCATAAGCGCACCATTCTAGGCAAGGAAAACAAAGATCCCTGCTATTCATCTTTCCATACAGGATAGAAACAATAAGTAATAAACATAGAAGCACATAAAAATAATATGAACTTAAAAGATGATAGATACTATGGAAATAAAAGTTTAAAGGAGATCAGAAGGAAAATTATATGAAATGACCTAAAGGCCAAAGAAAAATGGCAGGTTGGAGAAACTGAAAGATTATTACAGCTGAAATATGAACAAGGCCAGTGGCTCCAAATGAGTGTGAAGAGGTTAGCCAAGCTAGATTGTTAAGAACTTCCTAAGGCATTTTGAGGATTTTATCTTTATCCTAAGGCAATCCAAAACCACTTAAGAATTTTAAACTATAGACTGATGTGATCACATTTGCACTTTAAATTTATCATTCTGCCTGCAACCTGGAAAACATGTTGGGAAGCACACAACAGTGGGCAGGAGAGAATGGTTAGGAGGCTCTTGTCCTCATCCAAGCTAGACAAAAGTGTCCTTGCCTAGCTTGTGTTTCCTGAGTCAGACAATGGTGGCGTTGATAAAATAGCTGCTATCTGTCATAGACATTCAGCTTCTCATGTTTAGAATAAGGTAATACCCATTGTTATGGTTTAGATTTGAGGTGTCGCCTGAAAGCACCTGTGTGAGACAATGTGGGAAATGTTCAGATGTGAATTGACTCAGTTGTAAGCGCTGTAACCTAATTAGTGGATTGATCCATTTGATGGATTCATAATTTAAATGGATTAATGGTTGATAAGTGTAGGCTGGTAGAATGTACCTCAGCCTCTGAAACCATGAGCTGAAATAAACTTCCCATCCTTTTGGTCACAGTGAAGAAAAGTGACTAATATACCTGGCAAATTTTTTTTGGCCTTTGATGTGACATAAAGACAATTGGAAATGTCCACTCCCTTTTCATTGGTTTTATATCTAGCAAGTTTAATTATGCCTCCTCATCTTTAGGAAGAAAAATGTAATATGAGTTATTTCAGGAGCTATGGCAACCATTGTCCTTGCCGGAGTTTACCTTTACCCAGACATGAATTGCCACTCTCAAGTTGAGAGAGCTAATACAGAACACAGGTAAACAAGGCATGCATTGCTTTATTAACAGGGTCTTCGTGCTAAATCCTCATACTTTTTCTCCTAATAAGATGGTGCAGACAGTGTAGGAGAAGCCATATATTCCTTTTTCACTCTTCTATTAAGTTGATTAAAGTTATATACTGGTAAGCCATGGGCTATTGGGCTTATTTTATGATGATATTTTGATATTCTCATATAGTATTCTTAAAAGGCAGGGACACTAGGCAGGTGTCTTGCCTCGTTGCTGCACAAGCAATTTAGCATTTTTGCAGTTTCATAAGTCCATGGAAAGTTTATCCTCCCTAGTAGTTTTTCAAGTGTTTGACTTCTAGCTTGGGTACTGTGCCCACCTTAAGAAACTAGTTTCTAATCTCATTTGTCCAGGATCTAGCACAGGTTCTTTCAGTTCTAGACAACCAGACAGAAATTACATGCAACCTTCAACTCCATTGCTTCAGATCTTGCCTCTCCCACATAACAAAGGGGGAGAAAAAGACTTTTTAGTTCTCATAACATCTCTACCAAAATTCCCCTTCATTCTTGAGGATGTGGAAAAGGGAGAAGAGGACTAAGTACCTCCTTCTGTGATGTTGGGACCTAGTTCCCTGTAGCCCAGTTGAATGTCCTTGATTCTTGAGAAATCTTCTTTTCCTAGGGATGTTGGAGGGAAGGAGAATGGAGCTTAGGAAGGACGTGGCTTTTAACTGTTCCCATTGCAATATCTTATTACAAAAAATGTACTTTTTAAACATAGGTTTCCATCTTGTATTACTTTGTGTCTTGGAGTCTCTCCCTCGTGAATTATTTTGCATCTTGTTTGAAGTGAATCATTTTAAAATTTATATCCTGTCCTACTTCTATTTCAAGACTTTACTTAAAATATCTTTTTTTTCCTCTTCACCCTGCTCAGATTTGCATGAACATTTTATGCATTTCACACTCTTTAAAATGAAGAAAATAATATGCTAATCTGAATAGTCATAAAATCAAACTCAGAATATTGGATTTGATTCCCAGCAGAGTGGACAATTCCTATTGCTATCTGCTATCTCTATTGTTTCTGTAACAGTTAGGGAGAAGATATGGACTAATGAAATAAAGGAGTAGAACACAAATTTGGAAATATTCTCTATCTGATGGAGCCCAGCAGAGTGGGTACTTGCTCCTTGAGGACAGGCAACTTGCTGCCTTTTTGTATCCTTTTTGTATCCTCTGCTCCACTCAAGGAGTTAACCACACATATAGGAGTTACACACTGTATATAGATGAATCAAAACTAAGATAAATAGTTACGATACATATAATACTATGCTTAATTTTACTAGAAATCCCATTAGGGATGGCCAAAGAAGATATTTTTGACTAGAAATTGAGTGGAGTGGTGGGGTTTTATGTATTTATCTAGCATTAGTGTGTGGACACAACCAGGGAAAGTTAAATCCAGGAAGGGAGGTACTGTATCACTGACTAGAATTCAGACAAATGGTCCTCACATCCAAGTATGCATCAAAATCCCGTAATTTGGTGCTTCACAAGGTACAGAGAGTTCTAAGCCCTACTTCCTGGAAATCTCCAATTTAGTTTTTCTGGGTGGGGACTGACAATTTTCATATCTCCATCTCCCTTCTGGGTAATAACTGCTGCTACTGATTGAGGGAGCACATTTTGAAAACTACTAAACCAGACCTTGAAGATCTGGCTCAGCTCATACAGTGTGAAGAGGCTGCTTGCTCTGTGATTTGCTCAGAGAAGGGATGAGTTTCTAGATTTCAGAGAGCAATACTGAGATAGTGGAACTGAGTGGATAGTTTTAAGGGAATAGTTTAAGGGCCTTGCTTCCTCTTGATCTATAGGACTGAAAACTGTACTCTAGCAGCAAAAGAGAATGGCTTGGAGAATCCAGATGATAGTTAAAGTCAGCTGACAAATGAGGTGGATAAACAGAATGCATGGAATTGACCTAGTAATACTTTTAGCTAAGTTAACCTAATTTAGCAGTGTAAAAGCATGTACATACATCTAAGCTAATTTATATACAGCTTTATTCCCTAAAATGTTCTTATGCTGCAAAAAAAAAAAAAAAAAAAAAAAAAAAAAAAAGTTTATGCCCTTAAGCTGACTGTGCATGTCAAGAAAAAAATGGAGAAGGTAAAAAAAAGGGGCAGCCCAGGGAGAGGGGAAAACCTATTTATCTAAGAAAACTGATTTAGAAGGACTATGCCCACTGGTTGCTCCCATCTCTTCCCACTCAGTTCATGCTATCTCCCAGGTAAAAAGACTTAGGAGATTTCTGAAAAGTAACAACAGCTTCAGGAAGCAGGTGGCATGGGGACACGTTTCACCTTATTTCAATATTGAAATGGAAACTACCTAAAATTCAGAACTGATTTCATATGCTTCATTATGCTCAGCTAATTAGGTTTTTTGAATTTTAAATCATGAGTATAAAGTTTTCAATACTGTTTTTAGTGTTTCTTCCAGATGAATGTTGTATAATACACTAATTACTTTGGACTTTGTGGGACATCAACATTTATTTTCTTCACAGAATTTTGTGGACTCAGGTGGATTTTTCTCAATTTGCCAACAAAAAAGGGAAGAGTGGTATGACATTAAATGAACTATGCCTAAAAAAGATAGAAATGTTTTAGTCACCAAATGGTCAAATAGCTACATTTTATTTTGTTTATGTTTTTGTTAATTTGAAAATAGAAAAAAAAATACCTACTTAGTGATCCTTTCAAGGAAAGCTATAGCTCTGCTCATGTATAAAAAAGCCACATAAAAGTGACTCTGGAGACCTTGGCTACACGTTCAGCGGTCAAATATTTCAATGCTTCGCTGCTCCCGTTCCTGTTACAGGTACATGTGACAGCGCTGCAGCTATGAGTGGAATTTTAAAGAGGAAGTTTGAAGAAGTTGACGGCTCCTCTCCCTGCTCCTCTGTGCGAGAATCGGATGATGAAGTTTCCAGCAGCGAAAGTGCTGACAGTGGGGACAGTGTCAATCCGTCCACATCTAATCATTTCACCCGTGAGTACCCAGACCGTTCCTGAAGCTGAGTGCATGGTGCTACCGTGAAGGAATGTGTCATCCTGGACACTTGTATTTTTACCTTTGTTGCTATTTTTTTTTTAATTGGTTCTTTTTAGTTATACATGACAGTAGAATGCATTTTGACATAATTATAAAAGCATGAAATATATCTTGCCTCATTCAGTTCCCATTAATTTTTTTGAAACGATCAAATAGAAAAATAAATTAAAATTGAAATATTTTTGAATGAGCTTTTATGACTCTCGGTAATTTTTGGCAGTAGAGTATTTGGTTGTGTTTTCCAACCGATCCAATGAGAATGGACATTTTATTATTACTATGTTTTTGAGGAAGCATCTAGGACCCTGGGATAAGGAGGAAATATGGAATACATCCAGATTTGAAAACATGTCTCCTCCAGAAACTGAAACCATGTTTGGGGGTGGGGGATGCTGCATTTAGGTGCAGAAGGCCTCAGTTTTGGGGAGAAAGCTTAGACAGCCATGTGTTGAAAAGAGATGGGGAAGCATCAGAACTCCCTGGTGTGCAGCCTGCAGCCTCTTCCCTGCTCATCCTTATTAGCCATCAAGAAAAAAAAAAAAATGCTTTCTCTTTGACTCATTTTTTCTACCACACTGTAAGGTAAGCCCTTCCTGTCAGACAAGGTAATGTGAAGTTGAAAGGACTAATGTGAAAAATTCTTAAGCTAAGGGACACTGACTTGTAATAGCTAAATAATCCTTTTGCATGTGTTTCCTAAGCTGGAAGGTTTTAACCTGTCACAGTATAATGATAGATAACTTATCTTGGTTCCTTAATTTTCTTATTGGTTTATTTTATGAATTTATGGGTCTATAATACCAAATTTAATTTGGAAATGTGGCAACTCCCCCCCCCCACCAAAAAAAAAAAAGCTCAAATGAATTCAAATGTTTTTTTTTTTTTATTTACTACTCAATAACTCTAGAGCATGAGATAAATATACTAAAATCAATAGCATTTCTTTAAGCAATTAAACTAATTAGAAAATATGATGAAAGGGCAATTATAACTACTATAAGGAAAATCATAAACTATTTGGGGACAAAGTTATTGTGTGATGTAGGTGATTTACTAATATGTATCTCATGATGGCATAAAATGAGCTTGTGCTTTTAAGAAAAAAAGAACATAGATATTTACTTCTGTGGTTTTAATACTAATAGTGACAATAATAACACCCCTCCAAGGTTTTGCAAAAATCAAGAACAGCACATGAGATGACATACATAAAGGAACTTTGTAAAATGTGAGGTACTAAGCACAAAAATTATGACATAGCTAACATTTATTGGATACATTGTATGCTCCATTGCTAACTAAGGCTGAGAGAGTCTAGGCTGCCCAGGATCACACAGGACTTGAGCCTGCATAAATACACATGTCCTGCTCCATCGTCTTTACCTTTCCTGCTCATTCTGCTCCCTACATGATACTGGACCTATCTTTAAAATATTTTTTATTGTGAATTATAAAAAAAATAGTAAAGAGGCAAATTATATTTCTGGTTATAAAGGTATATAAAGCTATTAATGCTTTCTAGATTTATTTATAAATAAGAGCATACAATCTCAATAAAATCCTTAACCATATTTTCTTAGAAGGTGATAGAATGAAAAAAATCTATTTGGAGAAATAAGCTAATGCTAATAAGAGGATATTTTTAAAAAGGAAGGTATAAATGTTGAAAAGCCATTCCAGGTATCAAATTATAGTTAAAAATTATGTAAAACTGAAGGTTTTTTTCTCCTTCCAGTGTGTATCTTGTAGGAAACCATGGAAAATCCCAATGTTATAAAGAGGAATTATATATATATAAGAAAATGATCATTATTGAGCAATGGAAAACAAAATAAATTTTTAAAATAAATGATTATACTATTGGCAAACTCAAAAAAGAAATAATTTAGATTTTCATCTTATGATGCATGACAAAAAACATTCCAGATGGATTAAATAGATAAATATTTTATTTTTTTAAATCATAAGGGAAGTTGCATATTTGTGAGGCATTTGGTGGGATCATTACATGAGCTTTGAAGTAATAGGCAAATAAATCATATTGGAAAACACTTAACATATTTAATGATGTAAAAATATTTTAAACCTAACTGCTACAAGAAAATAAGGCCCAAAGAAAGAAGAGAAAAATTTATATTGGGAAAATATATTTCATATGGTCTAGGTTGATTTTTTAAATAGAATATTAAATACATATGTAAATATTTGAGATGAGAATTGAGATGCACCTTCTTAAAGATAATCCAGTAGCAGGAAATATGATTAGCATGAACTTTAAGGCATTTAACAACAATAATAAAAAAGCAGATTAATGAATAATACTGAGACTTCAGCAAGACCCTGTCTGTCTCTAAATAAAATATGAAAAAAGGGCTGGGATGTGGCTCAGTGGTTAAACACCTCTGGGTTCAATCCCCAGTACCCCCCCCCCCCCAAAAAAAAATATCTATCTATCTATCTATCTGTCTTCACAAGTCTGCACTTCAGAAATTTTTGTCTGAAAGGAGAAACATCAAAAACAAGGGGGAAGTCTATAAATGAAATTTTTGATGTTTTTTGGTAGGGTTAGGGTTAAGGTTAGGATTAGGGTTAAGTTTAGGGATTAGGGTGTGGGTTGGGAAGGGAAAGTGGAAGAGTGGCGAAATGATCTGTTACATATGGTGACTCAGTGAGTATATTTTCATGATATTTATGAAGACTACATGGCAATATATAAAATGCTTATGAGATAATGTTATGTAAGAAAAGAACCCAAGTTTCTTCTGTACTATTCAGCAAAGATCATAAAATGCACAAAGGCAAAGAAAGATTTAATGTATAAGAATTGGAAGCAGTTCAACTTGTTGAAGAATTAGAATGATGGATAAATTTTTATATTTACTACTTCTTATTCTTATTAATAGTCTATGCATTCCCACACAAAACATGTTTCAAATTTAAACAGCAAGAAATAACTGCAGTTCACATTGTGTTGGTGTAGGCTAAATAGCAAAGGTTTGATGAGTTGAATTATACAATACTCTAGTCAGCTCACAAAGACTTTTTTTTTTATCATTTATATGGAGCAGGTATTATTTTTCCCATTGGAGAAAATAGGCTTCTTTTTATGATGCCCAATAATGTATTGAAATGTTTCAGCGCACCACATAATATCAGTGGTAGTGGCCTTGGTTAGTTTACCAAAATGCTGATTTAACTATACTAAATGGAGTCTGGTAGATACTGTCATTGATTTTTAAAGATAATTAAATAAATGCTTTACTTAGAAGTGCCCTTTTCACTGAGTAGTCTTCTTTGTTCTCTGTATTACATTTTGGAGGAAATGATAAATTAGGAGAAAAAGAATCAAAATGCAGAAATTCTACCTAGAATATTTGCTCTATATAAGTGCTGAGCGTTTTAACCAATGCAAGAGTTTAGAAGGGTTTCTTATTTCTAAAAATATATTTCACATTATTTGCTACTCCATAAATTCATATACATTTTAGGGACTATTTTATCTATTATATTATCTAGGTTAAGGTAAGACTTTATATTCAATGTCTTTCTGATCTGAATCTATGGTCAACACCTTTCATAAATGTCTCCATCAATGAATTCTATTTCTTTACTTTTCCACTGTCAAAAATAAAGAATGATGATCTTGGAATGAAGAATCTTTTGAAGACTATCAGATTTATTTATCATTATGAAACAATTTAGCTTCATATTGAGATTTTTAAAAATGCAGTTACCTTTATTTAAATCTCACTCTTCATAGGGTTCGTCTTTCAAACTAAAATATCTTATGTACTCAATGCTTTACAAGTGCTAACAGATTGTATAATGTAACGTTTTGTTGTTGTTACACATATAGAAATTGATAAAATGGTTTGGAACATGTCAGCAGCTGTTGTAGTAGAAAATTCCATGCTATTCTAGGCTTTCTGTTAAAATATTCAATTTGTACCACACCACATTATGATAATAACAGCTTCAAAATGTAAATCTGTAAGCGTATGATGGCTTTTTACTTCATTTTTTTAATCCTGCTAGGCAACTACATACTTACCAGTTATTAACCAAGGTCATATCTTGCTCTTCCCCTGCGGTAGAAGCAGCAGATTCTGTGTGACTTTGGAATGCTTTGTTTCACCAAATCCCTGTGCTCTGTAGCCAATCAGCCTGTACTTGAGCACTGTCAGAAGGAGAGTTAAAGAGAAACTGGAGAAGGATGATTTGTTTTCTGCTTTCTCAAGGTTCTTGGCACTTCACAGGAGTAACAAGAAGCTGTATGATGAAACATGGTCCCAAAAGGAACATATTTTTCCTGCAACATAGCATTTCTACAAATAAATGTATCTCAGATAGGAAGTAAAAAAAAAAAAAAATGAGAGGTAAAAGGATAGACTTTCTAATTGCACTTGAAAGCATGCGGTGGATGTCTTACAGAGGGGTAAGATTTTTAAATTTACAGAACAGTTTCACATTCTTGAGATATTTTAATGTTCAAAAGTTGCTGTGTGATTAGGAGTTATTATCATGTCCATTTCATATAAAAACTAGCAATCAGAGATGTATTTGTAATTTATCCCAGAGCTGAGAGTTACACTCTATGTTCCTCTCCTTCCATACCTCCCTGACCTTCCTTTTCTCTCTGAATACACAGCATAAGTGCACAGAGTCAGAGTGCTTTTTCACTGCTGTTTCTTACCACTGATTCTACATTTCACAGTAGGAGTGGACATAAAGAATCAGTGGAAAACAAATTTTGATGTGAAACTTTACTGGACGTATGACTGACATCTGTCTAGCATGTTCTGTTTAACACAGGGTTAAAATACCTTGAAGATTTAGATACATTTTCAACAAATAGAATATATTATGTTACAGGCTGTGTGCTAGGGTAGGACCTTTCATATGTGTCAAAGTGATAGATTCCCAATAGTAAATACAAT